ATTGACCCACTGACTGCACCGCCACAATTTGAGACGTTGGTGTAGCTCCTATCGGTTGAACTGCCGCTATCTGGTGCAACTTAGGACACATCAGCCTTTTATGCCCCGGCTCTCTGCAATGAAAGCACACTCTACCCTCCCGAGCTACATCCCTCTTGGGACAACTCAACACACGGTGCTCCGTACTCCCACAACTGTAACAAGCACCATGTAGAAACTGGCTACCTTCAGAAGCCTCCTCCCATCTCCTCTTCTAGCCCTGCACAGGTTTGCCGCCTTTGTCAGAAGCAGATCCTCTGCATTGCTGCGGCTGCTGATGCTGACTCCTAGGATGGATAGCAAGAGCAATTGCATACGGCACAGCTACCGCACCAACCTGCTCGCACTGATCCTCCTCGATCGAAGACGCCAACTCCACAAAGGCTGCTCTTAAAACGTACATGCCTTTACATTGTGTCATGATGCTCAACCGAAGTCCCTGTAAGAACCTCTGCAAAAGAGCATGCTCATCCAACATACCCGGCAAGTATGCACCACCAGCCTGCTAAACTCAGCGTCGAACTCGCGCACCGAACGTTCACCCTAAGATAACGCCATAAACCGCATTTGTAGACGATCTCACACCTCGTGAGAAAGTACTTAACGTTGAAAACCGCTAGGAATTTTCCCCAAGTCCACACTGCTCTCCTCCCCCTCAATCGCCGGCCACCACAAATGCGCGTCACCACTTAGATAGTGGACTGCCAACACAATCTGATACTCCATTGGGCATCTGATAGACCAAAAATTCCGTTCCAGTCTCAAACGCCACTCGTCGGCCTCCCCCGGCCAAAATCCGCCCTCAAAGAACGGTGCAGCTATCCTCTGCATGTGCCGCATCATCTCGAGATATGGCGGAACACCAAAATATGAAGCCCTTGGCAGCTATGGTAACGCAGCTCCCTGCTGCAACCTGGCCACCAGAGGTATATTCGGAGCCTGATGTGGAACCGCTGGCGGAAAACGTGCCAAAACTGCGTCAGTAACCTGACAACTATGTCATCACGACCCTGAGCCGAAACAGCACCCACACATGGGGCCGCCCCAACTCCCGCACCACCACCGGCACCAGCCCCCACACTATCACACGCACCAAAAATTGGCCTCACTCGCCAACGAAACAAACTGAGTCATTGATGCAGTCGCCACACTCGGTGTTGCACTCTCTCATGAATCCGCCGGTAGTCCACGACCCCGACACCAGCCTGCTCAGCCTCCAGCTCTGCCGCCACGGGCAACTTCCCTGCCCCCACAGGCATCGGCTCTACCACGGCCTCTAGCACCACGACCTCTACCTGGATCCATCTCGCTGCACTTCTGAAAAAAAGCAGATTAGCACTAAAAACACAAACACAACTCACCGCGGAATATCTTGAAGCCCGAAGAGGATGATACTAAGACTATTAACTCACCAACACACATAATCAATTAAACACATAATTTAAGGTCAACAAATTCTAACAAAATGAAACAACCAAGTTTTTTTTTAATTATTAAAATGACAATTCTCGAAACTCAGCAATGCGGAAGTCACTCAATAAATAATTAATTCAATTCAATTCAACAAATTAAATTTAAATAAATAATACTAGCAACCTAAATAACAGGTTCAACTAATAACTTAAACAACTCAAAACAATCATATCATCATCTTCTTCGGCTTTGATTCCGCGATCACATAATTCTTTTACCTGCATCACATAATGAAAAGAAATGTATAAGTATTTAACAAATACTTAGTGAGACGGTCATCCCGTCTACAGGCCAATTATGCAATTATTCTGACAATGCAATTAACAATTTTCCAATAATTACTAATAATGAACAACAACACATAATCAGCTCTGGTGTTACACCAACTCGCAGTAACCAAACCCAGAACGACGAAACAGAGCTAAAACACCGGATTAACACAAATCAACACTAAATAGCACGATTAAACACAATATTTAACATGAGATTCCTCTTTGGTCTATTACGTGTATACGCTGGAGAGAAATATTGGACCGCAGCTGGAGAGACGAAGGAAGATGAAAGGGGTGAAGAACGATTGAGACTCAGGAAAAAAAAAATTAACGCTTTTTAAATCTAATAGCAAAGCGACGTCGTTTTGGTGTTGGGCGAAGAAAAAAATATGAGAGACGCAAAACGACGTTGTTTTGGTATTAGATGGAAAAAAAAAGTGACGTGGCAATGTCTTGGGTTGCTGACTGACGTGTCGAAGGCTGGAGAGTGTCATAGAGCTTCCAGTTATGTAGTTTTTTTCTATATCTAGATTTTCCTATTTTAATGCTAGATATATAATATTTAATGACATAATATATAGCATTAAAAATTCTACATCACTAAGAGCATTTGCATTGGTAAGCCTCGGCACAGGTTCATAAGAAAAAAGAAAAAAAAATAAATAAAAAGAAAATAACATGGCCAAAATTTATGGTGAGCAGGTTCTCCCGAAAGCTGTTTTGAAATCGACTCAGAAGAAGAGTTCGACAAGTGGCATCACATGATTCATCAATTATTATTATTATTTATTTTTTTTACAAAAATCATTTTTCTTTTTCCAAAAATCATTTTTCTTTTATTGTTAAAGAACCCTTGCAAAGTTTACCAATGCGGATGCTCTAATACCTACAATCAATACAATAAAAACCCCTAAATCTCTCCATATGATGACACTTTGGTATTTTAAAGCCTTCCTGAGCTGACACGTCATTAAATACGCCCACCCAATCAGAACATTTCGATTAATACCAGTCAGTAAATTCTTGGTTTACTTGCCACGTGTTCAGCCGGTTTTTTGCTTTATTGATTTCCTTCTTCACCTGCCGGTTACGTTTCAATGACGAGAAAAAAAGGTAAACCGCGTTTTAATTGTTTCTTCAGTTCATTTTCTTCGTCTATCATTTGGCGACTGAGAAACATAATCCAAAAACTTTCTTCTCCTTAATCATCTTTTTAAATTGGATCTGTGCCGGGGATGTCAAGTTAAAGACATGTGTTTGTCGTCCTCTCCTCCAATTTCCGAGTTACTTTGAATCAAAACTGCTGTAGAGAGATTATTCCTCAGAAATTTGGGAATTCTAATGACCGAACAACTTTTACTGGGTAAAGAGTAAGCATGATAGCTTTGGGAAACAAAGCTCTCTTCGTAAACATCAGAAGGAAGAGAGGAGGAATGTGATATAGAGAATCTCAGCTTCGACGGAGCAGAATCTCACACGACGAAAGTTGTGCGGTGTTTGGTTTGACGGCGGTGAACGAAGAAGTGACGATAATACGACCGGAGATAAGACTATTTGGGCCTATGGGCTTTTGAGGGATCGAATGTAAGCCAAATCATATTTATGACTAAGCCATTTTGTTTGTCGTGTATCATTAATTCATCTCCTACTTCACCGGTTTTTCTCTCCGGCTAAATCAAGATGCTTCGTCGCCTGATTCTCCGGCAAGTTTCTGCTGCCGTACCGGAATTAGAGTATCTTCATGGATTCAATCAGCATGTATGACATTTTTCTTTTGTGGATTTCTATTGAAAATGACGTACTGTGATTTGACGTTTATGGTTTTGTTAGAGAGGAATACACAGCAGGAACAAGAAGGCGATGTATTATGTTGCTAAAGGATGGAGTGCAATTAAGGAAGTGGGGAAAGTTATGGATTACTGTGGCTTAGTTGGAAATTTTGATGATGAGACCGTAAGTGTGGTGATTGACAATGATGCTGAGCTGGTCAAGAGGAGTAGGTCAAGGAGCGGGAAAACCAAATTGCAGGTTATTGATTAAGTCATGTTTTAGTTATTTCATTTTAGTGATTGCAAATTACAGGAACTGCGTTTCCTAAACTTTAGGACCAAGTTTCCACTTTCCCCATTTTCCAGTTTGTAAGATCGTGGTTGAGCCACCACAATTTGCTTCCTTGTACTTTGCTTATTTAAATCAATGAAAACCAAACAAAGAGGTAGTCTTAACTACCCAACAAAACTGCAAGTGTTCTTGTTCTTATTTTACAACTCTGATCGGGACCTATCAATTGGTATTCAGAGCTCGCTCTTTTTTTTTTTTCCAAACAGAAAAGATATCTCGATTGGGACCACTTGTGGTGTCGAGACATTGTTTTTGTTTTCTTCTTCCGCAGTTAATTTTTTTCTCCCTCTTCAATTGCTTTTCCAAAAAATCAGAAAACAAAACAAAAATCGTTTGTTCTCACTTATTCTCTTTACTCTTCTTAGTTTCCTTTCACATTTTTTTTCCAGTTTGTTTTATTCTGTTTTTCTAATTCTTCTCCAAAAACAAAAAAAAAAAAAAAAAAAAAAAAAAAAAAAAACAAAACAAAACATGGGAAGCAACAAAGAGAGAATCGAAGGTTTGGAAGCAAATCTTGGAGAATTGCAGGACGAGCTGCAGAAACTAGGCCAAGGCATGATAGACAAATTTCAGTCTATGGAGGCAATGATGAAAAAAATCGCAGAGTCAATGGGAAACAACAAAGATGGAGAGAGCAGTGCACCACCATCTGCGAGACGCAACGTCGGCAGTCATCATCACGATCCAAACAATCGGGCAGACACCATCCACACAAACCCCGTCTATCAAGCACGTTCCGTGAAGTTGGTGTTCCCTCGATTCAGTGGTGGTGATCCAACGTCATGGCTCAGCAAAGTAAAGCAATATTTCGCTTACAATGATACACCATCAGATGAACGAGTGTCATATGCGTCCTACCACTTGGAAGATGAAGCCAATGAATGGTGGCAAGCAATCTCCAAAGCGTTGAAAGAAGACAATGTCTACATCTCTTGGCTCGTGTTTGAGGAAGAGTTGTGGGCACGTTTTGGACCAACCGATGGCGATAACTTCGATGAGGCATTGTCAAAAATCCAACAAACGGGTACGCTTCGAGAATACCAGCGAGAGTTTGAACGTTTGCAGAACAATGTAGACGGCTGGACTCAGAAAGCTCTTGTTGGCACATTCCTGGGCGGATTAAATCCATCCATAGCTGATCCCATCCGCATGTTCAAACCACAATCGTTGAAAGACGTGATTGGACTTGCAAGGATGCGTGACGACCAACTGCAAAAACAGAGGAAAGGTTCGAGTTTCTCTAATCTGGCGTCTCGTAATTTTGCTCCAACGCCAACTTGTGACGCATCCCTCACCCCAAAGAAGCTGAGTTGGGATGAAATCAAAAGGAAGCGTAGCTTGGGACTCTGACGAGCGTTATACCCCAGGTCACAAGTTCCGAGAGTCCCAATTACTTATTATGGAAGGAGAAAGCGAGGAAGAGGAACGTGATTCAGCAAAACCAGAAGAAGACGTACCTCAGATCTCGTTGTATGCTCTGATTGGCTGGAGCGCTCCAAAGACCTTGCGAATCTCCGCTACGGTGAACAAGAAAAACGTGGTGGCTCTTGTGGATAGCGGATCTACACATAACTTCATTAGTGAAAAGGCGGCTGATAGGCTCAATCTGCAGATCACACGGACATCACCCTTTGTTGTTCGAGTTGCCAATGGATCTCCACTTCAATGTCACGGTCAATACAGAGACGTTCAGGTGACGATGGGAGAGGTAACACTTTCTGTTACGCTGAATGCCTTGCCTTTAGTGGGCCTTGATTTGGTATTAGGGATTCAGTGGTTACAAAGACTGGGCCAACAATTTGTGATTGGAAAGCCCAGACTATGGAGTTTGATTTGGAAGGGAAGCGCTGCATCTTGCGTGGTATAAGCAACACACCAATTCATGCAGCAGATGCACGTGAGTTCGCTAAAGAGATTCGCCAAGGGCATGAGGTATTTGCTATTTACGTTTCTAGTGACGGCACAAAGATACAACCGATTGGAGACACAAGCAACACAACCGGACGGATTCAACTCAATTTTCCAGATTCATTCATGAACCTTGAGGACAAGGTTCTGTTAGAGGATGGGAGTAATGATGAGACCGTAAGTGTGGTGATTGACAATGATGCTGAGCTGGACAAGAGGAGTAGGTCAAGGAGCGGGAAAACCAAATTGCAGGTTATTGATTAAGTCATGTTTTAGTTATTTCATTTTAGTGATTGCAAATAACAGGAACTGCGTTTCCTAAACTTTAGGACCAAGTTTCCACTTTCCCCATTTTCCAGTTTGTAAGATCGTGGTTGAGCCACCACAATTTGCTTCCTTGTACTTTGCTTATTTAAATCAATGAAAACCAAACAAAGAGGTAGTCTTAACTACCCAACAAAACTGCAAGTGTTCTTGTTCTTATTTCACAACTCTGATCGGGACCTATCATTTGATGGCCTCCTCTTTGTGCTCTGCAACATCACTGATTGCAGGACATGCAAGACATGAAAGATTGCTATGATAGCTTGCTCTATGTTCCGGCTGCTATTGCATATGGTAATCTATTGTTTTCTTCTGGTTTGGTCGGATAAAAAAAACCAGCAACGTCATATAAGTTTGCTATTCATAATGAATCGTGCTTGCGGATACTTGGTGTTTGTTTTTTTAATTTGATTGATTCCTCAATTTAGCTCTAATACTTGCAATGTTGCATTCTCATTGTGCTTCTTCAAACGTATTCGTCTGTATTTGAACTTGATAGCGATCTGAAATTTAGCAGTAGTGTTTGAAACTTATATATATATAAGTAATCTTTGCATCCCAATATATGGCGATAAAACATCTTGTTGATAAATATATGTTCTTATCGAGAAATAGAGTTACACTTCACAAGAAAAACTTCATCCTAAACGAGAAATCTTCTTGTGGTTTCACATATTTCCATGTCTTTGTTCGAGAAGCTGAGAGATTGCGTTGATGTTCGTGGTGGGATTGTGCTGCTGTGCGTGGTGAAATTAAGGTATTGATTATGTTCATCACTTTAAAACTCTCTTCTTGATCAGAGAAACATGTATTTACAAAATGAATCCATAACTATGCATAACTCATATTATAACAACTAAACTAACCAAAAGCAAACAACCGCAGAAGATGAAAATCAGGAAATGAGAAACTAATGGAATGGAGAAGAAAGATTACAAAAACGGGAGAAATATGAAACGTTCAAATTTGAAGACACACTATTATCTTTCGAGTTTAGAGACTTTAAGTTGAGGTTTACATAAATTATTTTGCTTTATTTAGAACTTGTTCGACATAATAACATAACAAGCAACAAAAATAAATTCCAATAGCCATTTTCACTAACATCAAATAGAACTTGTTCAACATCAAATCCTGCAGCATAGCGGGGGACAATTTCTAGTCACATCAAAAGAACCTACAGCGTAGAATGTAGAGCAAAAAAAGCTACAACCAATCAGCCCTAAATCAGGCTTAAGTTTTAATCGGTTTACAATTCTCCCTATGCTCAACTTTCAAAACACAAGCATGGAATACTTCTCCTACTTTTGTCCAGTGTCAGATCTTGTATAGACTCCGACATATGGATGTGTGTGTCTCTCACCATGTTCAGTTTGATGTAACTTCCCATTCATGGTTTTTGACTACTTGATAATCATTAACCTATTATGCCTCAATTGCCATCGCCATTGGTTACTAGACTGCACATTTGTTCGCCTTCGACATCTCTTAACCTTACCATCATTATATCTACCATCATTGTCTGGTGCTCAAGTTGTATATATTACCTTAGAGCTTTGAGAGTTTAGGAAGTTTTTTTAGATAAAACATTTAGAAAACCTCTAAAAAACACACAGCACATGAATCTCAAAGCAAAAACATTTGTGGTGTTGGTGTTGCTGTCTAAAAAACACACAGCACATTAAACTCAAAACACGGAGCCAAACAATAAACTTTTGTTAAAGAGTCAAACTTTGCAACAAAAAAAAAAACTAGAGATCGCCGGCAAAAAAAATGGCGAAACTCACACTTTTCATCTTCATCTTCTTTTCCACTCTAATCTTCTCATCGTCTTTTGGTTTCCAATCAGACGAGCTCCTCGTTGACGACGATGAGTTTGGTCTCGAAGGAGCAAAACCCCAATCAACCGAATTTCACACCTCTTCCCCAGCTTCTCCTCCGCAACAGCAACAGACTCCAACTATCCGTAAAAGATACTCAGATCCCGATTTGGATTCCAAAGTCCAATTCACTCTCGAACATGCCTTCGGAGACTCTGATTTCTCTCCTGCCGGTACTTTCTCAGCTCGTCTCAAAACCTGGAGCCATGGCGGAAAGGTCTTCTCTTTCTCTCCGATCCTTCTCTTCGAGAAAGCTTCGTTGTTTAGTGAACTGATCTATAGCTGTTAGTAGTAGCAGAAGCTTAATTTCACTAATCAAATAACTTTGATCTTTGTTGATGCAGACATTAACAAAGTTGAGGTTTTCAAGGAATGATTTTTCTGATGAAGAGAAAGATGCATTCAAAGTAAAGTTTTATTTTCTTCTTCTCCAATTTGACTTGGGAATTGGGTGGGATAGAGAGATATAATGATTTTTGTTGAAACCCATTTGTAGAATCTGCTCAAAGGAGATGACTTTTATAGGATTAGAGTACCATCTAATGTGATCAGTCCACAAGGGAAAGAGTTTGTGGTTGCATCAGTGAGAGCTGTAAGTCAATTTCAACCCTTTTTATGTAGATTACTGTCTTCATTTGCTTTTCTTGATTTAAACAATTCTAAAAGACGCATTCTTTGTGAAATCTTGGTGGCTGCTGTTACATTATTAATTAAAGCTCTGTTCATCTAGTTTCACTCCCTGAAATCCTAGTAGGTTACAGCTTTCTAAGTAATAATCATTTGAGATTTGAGCGCTTGTTTGTGTAATTGGTTCTGAATGATATGATTTGTAGCTCTCTAGTGTCACATACAAGTTTGTTTCTAGGGCAAGGCTTAGAAAGACAATGTATATACTATATATTAGTCTCGTTTAGATTAGTTGAATGAATAACAGTCTTTTGTAAATTTGGTTTCTTTCTTTTCTTGTATCGCTTTACAGTCAGATTATGTGACTGAGTTTGAAACAATATACATGTTTGATTACAGAGATGTCTACCACGGGATGGCTTGGATGAACATTTCGTTATACACATGGTAAATAAACGTTTCTGAGCTCAATATTTTGGAACTAGAAATATGATTTTAAGACTATGTGTGTTCGTTCGTTTCGGTCAGCTAACTTGCTCTATGCAGGAAGGTGCAAACATTTTGGCAGTTAGTTATGGCTCTCTTGGGGCGTGTCAATATCCTCGACAGCTGAAACTTGTAAGTGAAGACTAACATCCCATCTTTATCTTCTTTATTTCGAAACGTTAACGGAGATAAGTAAAACATTGACTTATCCTCCCTTGTCTTTATTCTAGTTTTCTGATGCACCGATAAGTTAAGAATGCAGAGGATTTGACTGAATCATTATTTTTCTGTCTGCCAACTATTTTTCTAGTATTGAAAGTCATAGTAATATTCATGACGAAATATCTCAACAAGATAAGACATGTGACCTTTGTGGTCCTAGGATCAGTGTAAACATTTCACAATGATGTGATTTTGGGTCTGGTTTGAAGTAAGGGGCGTGTGTTTGTGTGTGTGCGCTTCCATGTTATGTGAGTCAGATTGACTTTCTACGCATTATATTTTCCTTTCTCTATTCTCCATGTCCTATATAAGGGTAGTGTGGTTGAATGGAATAATATTCTTTTGTTTTGGATTGATTCGAGTTTATCGTTCCCTCAAACAAAGAATGTATATGAGATTCTATCATATTTCTTGTCCTAGTTGAACTCTGAAACCCTGAATTTATGAAGGAAGAAGAAGGATACATGTTTGTGTGAGTTTCTGACTTTTAATCTAATTTATATCGTTGTCTTTCGCTTACTGTAGCCAGCAAAATGGTCTTTCAACTCTCACACAATTCTGAAGAGCAGTGAGCAGGCACCAAGGTAGGAACATGAGCTGTGTTTCTTTTTGCATCAAAAGGCTTTTACTTTTCACGAATCTATATCAGTGACTAATACTTTGGCTTATCCTTTTCCTTTACATGAACTGTTCTAAGAACTCCAATATTCGCTGAGGAGATTCTTGGTGGTGAGAATGTAGAGGGCGAAGTTGAACCACCACCAGAGAGATCATTCTGGGCGAAATATGTGAGTAATACAATAATGAAGAACAAAAAGTTTAGATTGTGTTTTTAGTTCTTCATGTAAAGTTTCTTATGATACTCTTCTCCAGTGGATGTATTTGATACCTCTGGGACTCGTGGTGATGAACGCCGTGACACAAGCAACAAACATGGCTGAAGAACAACCAGGTGGTCAAGCAGGAGGCTCACAAGTGCAACAAGCCAGAAGAAGATGATTCCACTTTTGCTTCTCAAAGGTAGATGCATGCCGCGATTTCTTTTTATGTGTTCTTGATCGCTATCTTCACTTTTATGAAATTATGATGGAATTTATCCTTAAGGTTTTAGGGAAATATTAATGTGTTTGAAGTGAGTTATAAAGATTTGAATCTGATTGTGAGCTTATGTTTTTGCAGCTGGTAAGAGATGAAGATTCCACAAAACTGTCTTCATGTAAACCATATTTTCATCATTTGGTTTTGTTTTATGTAATCTTTAATTTTTAATCCTCGAACGGTTTTGTTTGTAGTTTGTACGCAAGAAATGGGAAATCCAAAATCATTTCTGATTTTGTATTGGCTTTTCACAAATCCCCAAAATTAACAATGCATCTATGTGGAAGCAATCAAGGGTAGCATGTCCCTGTTACCAAACAGGAAATTATCCCAATTATCCGAATTTTTAAGTATAACCCGGAAGGAAATGGGTCGGATCCTGTTAAAAAGACCATTTACCCCCACGCATACCAAAGAAACTTTTATTGAGAGTGGGCATTTTTGTCCAGGACATATTTCGGATTTTGCTGTTTGGAAACATGTTTAAGAAAAAAACCCGACCCGACCCAGTTTAAAAACACGCGGATCTTCGAATGACACAACCATTAATTTTTTAACCGACCAAAGATTCACTTATACAAAATCTTTTCAAATCATTCAAATCCCACAGTGAAGGAAAACATTCCTAAGAACAGGCTGCTAATAACTATCTATACAAAATTCCTTCATCCTCGGGACATATCAAAGAGATATCCCATATCATGCTCCTGCGGTTAATAAAATATACGAAATTAAAACGAGATATCACTTCAGATATTATTACATTGATAAACTAATAGATTAGGGAATCTTTCCAACCTCAACAGATTTGTAATCCAAGAGAATATGCCGTGGGCAGCAATTCTGAAACCTCCGAAGCCCTAGGCATAAGATACAACTCCAAACATTATAAATATGTAGCCTTTGTCACATTAAAGTCATCAAACATCAAACACATCTATTTTACCTCCTCCTCGCAAAATGACTATTGGATGCGCCTTCGCCAAGCTTTCTGATGTCCGAGACCTTTCAAGACAACTTGGAAGGTCCGCGTTAAGGTGATTCACTCCTGGAGGCAGTACAGCGGCATGTCCGGCGAAACGATGGATCTGGTTCTCGCGGATGAACATGTAAGTTTAAAACCTATATGTAAATTTCAATGCTAATCGTATGTTTCAGTTTGCGTTATAATGACAAGTATCTATACTTATATTTCCAGGGTACTAAAATGCATGCTGGAATCAAGAAGAAGGATATAGGCCGCTTATCAAAGCTTCTGGTCGTTGGTGAATGGAAAGTGTTGGAGAACTTTCAGGTATCTCCTGCAACCGGGCTATTTCGACCAACTCCAAGCAACTGGAAGATTGGGTTGTCCATGAACACAATCGTTACCAATGCAGCATCAAAGTGGACGACATGTTCCTTTCGTTGGTACCTATCCAGACGATCCTAGATGGTGATTTGAATCACAATTTCTTGATTGGTAAGTAATCTATGTGCTTACAATCTATATCTGATGTATACTATTAAATTGCTGACTTGAAATGAGAGAACTTACATATTCATCGGGAACTTGTGTACATGTTTTCCAGATGTCATTGGACAGGTTCTTGATGTGAGTGAGATCAAAACTGTCCTGTACTTGGGAGAGAAAAGCGGAAGCTAGAGTGCGTGCTTAGGGACATTAAGTAAGTATATATACACTTATCATCAGTTCAATCTGTGGTTATATTCCCTATATCTAAGTATTTTCTTAATAAATTTTGCAGTGATCAGAGAATCAACTGCTGTCTTTGGGCGGGATACGCTGACCAACTGTACGAGGCATGCAGTAAAGCTAATGGGAAAACATTAATTTGTTTGATCAGATTTGCGAAACTCAACTTTTATCAAGGCAAGCTTATACATCAACTATATATCAACCTGATTGCAACCAAATCAACTTCGTTTAAACATTTTTGAGATATGAAACATTTCTATTAGGTGATATGCAAGTAACTAATGCTTTTGATGCATCTAAGCTTATCATCAACCCTATTTGCGAAGAAGCAGATGCTTTCAGGATTGGGTTAGTAATATGTCTAAACTATATTTTGCTATGTTTTAATTTACACAATATAGAAGAAGAAAACTAACCTTCTGTACTTGATGCCTTCAGCTTGCCAGATGACGGTGCGATTGTTGTCATCCAAGAGGATGATGAAGAGGCTGAGAAGCAAAGGATAAAGGAGCAGGAAGATGCGTGGCTGGCGTTGGAAATGAAATCTGTGTATGACATTCAGAATGCTACTGAGGTAAACACATTCATATGTAAGACAAATAGATTGAACGATTTGATAGTGATTTACTTATCTAAAATAATGTAATACCTCGCAGATAAGAAATTCAGGATTTCTGTCAAAGTGACTGGAATTGATACCGACTGGGGTTGGTATTATTTCGGATGTGGAAAGTGCCAGTTCAGGGTCACCAAGGATCTGAAGAAGGAAGGAGCCACAAAACCTCGCCCCAAAGACCCGTGTGGTACTGTGACAGATGCAAATCAAATGTCAAAACTGTTGAAGCAAAGTGAGTAGTTCCAAAATTTTTCATATGTTTTGGTTCATCAGTATAGATATAATAGTTGCCATTGTGATCACATGGAATATTTGCATATGCAGGTTCAAGTTGCACCTTCTGGTAGAGGATGACTCGGCCAAAACAAAGGTTATGCTTCTTGATTCCGTTGCTTATGGCATCGTGGAAAAACAGCTTCCTTCCTGCTAAACGGATCATACGATGAGGTAATATCATTATCAGAAGCTGCATAATATTTCCTGTTATACTAGCTCATTTTAACGAGATGCCTATTTATTATGAAAAAAACAGATTCAGGATCCAGAATTAATACCCGATGACGTCAAGAGTTTAGTTGGAAAAAGTTTCGAGTTTCTGGTCGGTGTCGAGAAGGAACACATTGTGTATGGAAATGACACCTACAAGGTGCATAAGGTAAAGAAAGGACTTCTCATTCTCGACACGGAATCTGGCGATGGACCATTCACTGCCATTGATAATGGTTCGACCATTGCATCTGGCGAGGAGGTTAGCACACCCTGTTCTCTTACATTCACGTTAAACCCATTTTGTATTGAAATGAACATAATATGAACTTTGATTAATCTTTGAATCCTCACCTATGTTTTAGTTGTCGGTTGTCAAGAGTAACAGCCAAAGCATTTCAGATGATGGTTCAACCCCATCACCGAAGCGTGATTTTGAATCAATGCATGGTGTCCCAGCCGGCTCTTCCACTTCGAAGAAGCATTGCCCCAAGCAACTTCCTACAGAGCCAGTAGAGAGCTGGTCAATCCGGATGGACTAATTAGCCAGCATCCCGAAGCAAATAAGCGAAGCTAAGCTCCACCAACTCACCGAGAATTGACGTTAAGCGTAGCATGCAGAAGAGTCTCCAATAATTTATTGTTTTCAATCAAGGATCGAGCTTATGTTCTCCATGTGTTTTTATTTTGCTAGACAGTTGGTTTTCTATTTATTTCATTTCTTTTTGGGCAACTTTTTAAAATAATGGAGCTTTTGTTTTACATTTTCTTCCTTAACTATATTTTTCTATATCAACTATCAATACACAAATACAACATGGAGACTTTTCCAAACTGAGTAGGATACGTACCTAATAGATGCCAGATTTCAACATGCTCTGAAACGTCATATACTAAATTAACCGCAGTTATTGGATTACCTGCAAGTAATGTGATCTACAAATGTTCAAGATGGTCTAACCTTATATTCATAAACCTAGAAAATATAACTCAAACTTTATTGGAAATAATGTGATCTATAAATAATGTGAGGGTGTCAATAGACATGTTTTTGCAAAAGATCACACTCTAATTATATAACCAAATTATAATCGAGGTCAAAAAATACAAGTTAATTGGACGATTAAATATTCTGTTTGAGATTTGTATTTTGTAAAAGTTAGTTGTTCATATAAGTGGGAATGTTTATATATTTGAAAAGTTTGGTGAAACCGGGAATCTCAATTGTTATATTTTAAGCTTGCCGCCATGTACAATTATAAGATTTTGAATTATCGAATGAGATCTCCGGAGTATCTTAGATTGGTTAAACTAAGGAAGGAAGTATTTAGCAATGAACAATTGTACATGGATAGATATTACCTCTTTCACAAAGATGACCTCAGTGAAACATCCCCTGCGTAACCTCTTAAAAGAAATCACAAGGAGGTTAATTAGAAGAGAAGCAGGTATTGTCAAACATGTATTGTGATTTTCCTTTGACCAAAAAACTTTGTCTAGATTTCTACGTAACTTAGACCTTTTTGTTTATGCAGTTGGAAAATGTTCGTCTTAAAAATGTAGGACAGACACGTTTAATAAGAACACTAAACCTCCAGTCACGAGGAAGAGGAAATTGACCTCAAGTAACTGAAAATGTAGATCCAAATTCAGAACCGGTAACAGACACCCATCTCCTTTTTTTATTTTATTGTCTAATTGATGAAGTAGAATCATGATGATATTTGGTTTTCATGGTCAGGTGAAAAATCAAAATGAAAACAAAGGTTCAGCTGCGAAAGTCACTGCGAAAGCAAATATTCAACCTAAGAGAAGCAGAAAGAAAACAAGGACGTGAACAATGAACCAAATGCAGCAACGAGAATGAGTGGACATGTATACCACTCAAATATATTTTTAGAAAACTAATTGATGATGTTGAAGGCATATCTAAACGAACTACCATCCCGACGAAGGAAAAGCCTAAACGTAAGAATGGAAAACCAGTCGGGCCAACACTTTCTACACAAGGTAATGCTTATCGTCCATGTTTTTATGCAATGAATATATCCTGTATATGCACACCTCTAAATAAGAATTAAGAAGTTAACTATGTATCTGTTTAACAAACAGAAAATGAGTCAAGGGTACAGAACTTACAAACGAGGAAGAGACAACGTGGAAGGAGAGTACTGCAGGATATCTCAAACTTGCCAGATGACGATGATGTTTTGGAGGACTTTCGGATGATAACCTGGATGAAGAACGACCACATAACTATCCGGATCTTTTAAACTCTGATGAAGGTGATAATATTATCATTATGATTTTACATTGTAAACGTTAGCCTAGATCTGTAACTTATCATGGTGATTTGTATTAACAGACGATGAAGGGGATTACGAACACATTTTCCAATGCAGTAGTCCTGATAGCACAGACACAGAAGATGGTGATAATGATAAATACCAACCTTCTCCATCACATCTGCAACAAACGCATATCTCCGAACAAGAACCTCCTTCGACCGTACACATAGTTCCAACACTTCCTGAGAGTGTGATTACTCAAGAAACTGTTCAACCTTCTCCAACTCTGAAAAAACGAAAGAGAGTGAGTATGGCAAAAAAGAAAGAAACTGTACCCGATAAGATTGGTAAGCTAATTAGAAACAACGTGTTATATGTATGATGCAACAGCGAACTTTTTGTATAGTAAATCCTGATTTGTATGTTCACTGTGTTGTGCAGTATACAATGACGAGGGTGACATGACTTATTCGTGCGTGCATTGTGGTGCTAAATTTTGGTATGGAGAACGACTAAACAGAAGAAGGAGACGGGGGATCCATCATTCAACCTTTGTTGTATGCACGGCCAAGTCAAATTGCCTTTACTAAAGGATCCTCCTGCTCTTATTAAAAAATTGCTGTTTGGGGATGATGAAATGAGCAGGCACTTTCAAAAATTTATCAGAATCTACAACATGTTGTTCTCTATGACGTCTCTCGGAGGTAAAACTGATCGTTCTATCAAAAAAGGAAAGGGTCCAAACATGTTTCAGCTGCACGGAGAAAATTACCACCTAATTGGAAGTATGCTTCCAAACCCCGGTGATTATGCAAAATTCTATCAGATGTACATAGTTGATTCTGAAAATGAATTGGACAACAGACTGAATTTTTTCAGGTAATATATTTTAGTTTAAAGCTATTGTCATAATAATTATGAAGTCATTACCAATTTAGGGTTTTGTCATTGCGTTTCAGTAAGGGGAAACACGCATCCAAGCCAGATAAGAAGAATAGACTCAGGAAGGACATCATTGATGCGCTGACAAAGATGCTCGACGATGTCAACCCCTATGTCAAGAATTTCAGGACTGCAAGAGAAAGATTCAACACTAATCCTCAAGATAGTTTTCATATGAGGATAATTAGTGATCGTGTTACAGATGGTAGAACTTACAATGTTCCAACTGTGTCTGAGGTTGCTGCAATTATTCCCGGAGATTTCAATTTAGAAATGGGTACAAGACGGGATATTGTTCTAGAGAAACGATCAGGCAAGCTGCGACGGATAAGCGAAATCCATCCAGCCTACATACCACTGCAATATCCTCTGGGGTTTTCTTATGGAGAAGATGGTTTCCGACTTGGAATTAAGAAAGCCAATGTTGAAGCTTCTAAGAAGACGAAAAAGGAAAACATCAGCGTTAGACAGTTTTTTGCGTATCGTCTAATGGTTAGACCAAACGAGTCAAATCACTTGCTACACTCTAGGAGATTGTTCCAGCAGTATCTGGTTGATACCTACACTATGATAGAGTCTAACAGATTATCCTACTTGAGATTGAACCAGACAAGTTTGAGGTCTGATAGCTATGACTCTATCAAACAAGCGGAAGACCACGGTGTTATTGAAATGGATGAACAAGGCAATAAATTTCTGCTACCTGCGAGTTTCACTGGTGGACCAAGATACATGAGGGAGTTGTATTTTGACGCCATGGCCATTTGTAGACATCATGGATTTCCAGATCTTTTCATTACTTTTACATGCAATCCTAAATGGCCAGAAATATCAAGGAACTTATTACAAGGGAACTCGCAGGGACCCGTTGATGATAGGATTTTACGGTGGATGTGATAAGATATGAGGTGGAATGCAAACAGGGGTGAATAAAGATGAAATGGTATGGTGCAATCACAATCAATCAATTCCTCTTAACCATCATAGTCAATGTAGTATAAGAGGTTATCAATCCAAAATGGGAGAAGTTGTCACTCTTTGAGAATATGAAACACAAGAAAGTCAAGCAAGCAGTAGAAGATTTGGGGTAACACTAACAACCTAAGTGAAGCAGAAATGAAATGCAGAAAGTAAATAAAGCAGTAGAGCAACAGCTCGACCAAGGACTCGAGTCGAGTTGGAACAGAGTGCCGAGCTCGATCGAGTTTAGGGTCGAGTTGAAGTAAAAAGCAATAAAGGCAGCGACTTTAACAAGCTAGAACGAACAATAGGGTCTAAGACAGGGTTTAACAATCAGAGGAAGGCTATACTTAATCGATCTTGCTCTCAAACGACTTGTATCAAGGTATCTCTTGATATTGAGCTTCTCAATGCCTAGCTAACCCTTTCCCAAGGTGAAAGCTATCAACCAAGACTTGATCTCAGAAACAGGGGGTTAGCCAGTGAGAATCAAGCCTTGGAGGCCATAGGATCATTGCTCAAACTAATCCATCCAACCCCTTAGACCTCCATTTTCTAGAGCAAGAGATATTGGAGCTCTTAGTGGACCTTTCCAACGATTTCCATCACTTCCATGTGGAGAATCGTCTATGGACATACAAGCCAGGGATAGTGGTCATGTAGCCTTAAGGTTTGTCCAAAAGAGAGAGATTTCTAGATTAAGAACATAAGCAAGAAGGATTAAGCATAAAATCCTCTAATCTATCCCATCTTTGACCCTAAGGGAAACTACTCACTACACATGAATGTAAACACAAGCAAATGCAATAAAAGAGACATCATAAGAAAGAGGAGATGAAATAAACAACTTTTATTGAAATAAGCAAGTGCAAATACAAAGAGATATCCAGGATCTAAGGATTCAAGAAGCAAGAGCTTCAAGAACACAAAGATGGGATTAGGTCTAAAAAGTAAAAGACAATAAATTAAAAGAAACTAAAACAAAAATAATCTAAAGCTTGGTGGTTTTTTCGTGGCTTAGAGCCTTTAAATACAAGAGGATTAGGTTTAGGGTCAAAGGAAGTCAAGGGGGAAGCAACATTTTTCGGGTTTGACTGTTGACTTCTCAGCTCGATCGAGTTGAAGCTTGGCCGGTCGAGTTGAGGAACTCGACCGGTTGGTCGAGTAGTGGTCGAGCTGGTCTTCAAGATGGCTTCCTCCTTCTTCCTTTGCGTGTCCAGTTGAGCTGCGTCCATGCCAAGTCCTCCTTGCTCCTCTGTCCCATATGCTCCAAATGCTCCAAAAGACCTATTTCAAAGGACCAAACATGCATATGTATGCAAATGCAACCTAAAACTACTATGAATGCATAAGAAGAGAAAAGGAACAAGATATGATGCTAATGGAATGCTAAAACTATGCAAAAGATGCATAAAAGATGTACTAAAACTATGTAAAATGCAAGTACATCAACACCCCCAAACTTGAACTTTGCTTGCCCTCAAGCAAACAAATAGAACAAGAAAGAGATGAGGTTTGAAAACAAGCTGATTCAACACTTAAAAACATGTCCTCAAAAGCGATTTGCTAAATGTCCAACTTAGAGATTCTAGAATGCAACAAGGTGAGAGATATTCATTAAGATTTAACCATGCTTATCAACATCAATCCCACTTCACAGTCACTCAAACAATGCATTCAAATCAGCAAATCCCTTTAACATTCATTAAGCAAAAACAGTGAACCAAAAACATGCAAGATCAATCAACTCATTTGGTTTCAAGGGTTTATGGGTTAAGAGACAAAGAGGGTCTCTTTTGTATGGTGGTTTAGTAACAGGGATCTCTCAAGAAAGTGGCTTTGCTTTGGCAGAAGGCTAAGTGTTAGAACCAAAGATGATGCAAGAACAGCAGCTCGAGCCGTCTAATCCTAACTCGATCGAGTTCAACACTTAGAGCTTTTTAGAACAAAATCCTAACTACCCTTTTTGGCATTTCGCCTTTGAAACTGAGGAGCTTTGCTCACTTTTCTTTTAAGAACTTCCTAGGGAGAGGCTTCTTGAGGTAACATCTAGCGGTTTGGGATTTTCTAAACACTTAGGGAACTTTTCTTTCCTTTTTGACACTTGAGGCTTTGCCTTCTTTTCTTT